AGGCGAAATATACCAGACTGAGATACCGGTACCTTCAGTTTAGAGCGCTGGTGTGTTTTATGACATGGAGATTTGAAATTAAAGATAGTAGATACTATAGTGCATTACATCTTACTTCAAAGGTGTTATGTCATGGTGAGTTCCACTGATTCAACCTCGTCCCCAGGGATTTTCCCTTAAAAAATGGGTGGGGCGGGCCTTTTCCCGCCCCACCCATTTTTTAAGGGAAAAGCCCTGGGGACGAGGTTGCCACTGATTGTAGGATGGGGAGATGAAGCATGATCGGTCCTATAAAAAAAAATGGTTTTTCATCATTTTTTTTGGAGACAGAGGTGTTTAACTTGAGAAAGCTGGCCTAATCTTTATTTCAAGTTGCAATCCTTTTTACGAACCCATTATGGAAATGACCCATATCTCATGGCTTTGCTTCGAGTTACGATTGACTTCTGGGAAAAGGCATCCTAGTTGAGAATTAAGTTGAACAAAAAGAAAAGTCGAAAATCGAAACAAGCCAGAAAATGACGTACCGTGATGATCGAGCTGGGAATTGAATTGGTTGTACAATTGTTGGTAGGAAAATGGCTGAGCTGAACATATATTCTAAACATACCTATTAATTATCTTTATTAAAAACTCATGTCTAATCCTTTCCCAGTCCTAGATATTCGATTTTCTGTAAATAAACAGAGCAATCTGTATTAGCCGTTAGAATATATATATATATTTTCATTTTCCACACATGTTAAATTGCAATGATCTTATGTCGTATCACATGCACCTGTTACAGAATTTCGCTTTTCATTTTTTTCTTTTCTTTTGACTGGAACACATTAACCAGAAGTCTGGAGTATAACTAAGTTGAGCTGAGGTGCCTGTTTCTAAAATATTTGATTTTCATGTTAGAGATTATTCAGGTTTAAATTAAGGTATAAAAGTGATGATATCACTTAAATGGTTCCAACATGCAAGCGAATTAGAAAATCAAAAATTTCCTGGGAAAGAACAAATTACGATAATTGAAATCTGCAACAATAGAGATTTATTGTGATGATGCTGTCGTAATTTAGGTATCAGGTCCTGTTCTTACAGGAATGGGACATGATGCTAAATTTTAGGCTTACTATCCTGGGTGATGAATTACTTCTTAATTTCAGCGTTAATAGACCTTTTTACCGATACGGCGGCCGTATTGAATTTATTTGATTTAAGGAGTATTATGGGATGCCCAGGGGGCACTCGCTCAGTATTTACGCGCGGTTTTCGGGCAAAAAGAGAACTTCATTGTATATTTCTCTGGAAAAAGGCGATCGTTATTACATCCAAACACGGCACAACGATCTTTTTTTCTCATTAAAATCTTTTTCTAGGAAAACTTAACGAAAAATTGGCCCGAAAAGGGCGCGTAAATACTGATGGGAGTATATGAGATCGTGCTCATGCCCCCTGGGCATCCCATAATACTCATTTAAAAATCCAATTAATTCAATATCGCAGCCGTATCGGTAAAAAGGTCCATTTATAATTTCACATGTGAAATTACTAAATTGCCATGGTAACATTCCGTACGTGTCAGCGCCAAGATGGCGGCAAAGTTTTAAAATATTATATAAGAATGAAGATATCAGGGCATTAAAAGACGCTTTGGAAAACCTACACACCCGAAAGAGCACACCAAGAAAGATTTTAACAGGTATTTTGTTGAAAAATTCTGAAAATTCTGAAGTTAAGCCAAATTTAAGCTGTAAACTTTTGACTCAAAGCTACTCAAGCGTGGAGTTCTCGATCGATACGATAAAACCAGTCGTTTGCAAGGAAATAATTTCACTTGCCTATTAAAGGCTCTATTTGGGTATTTTGGTCTTTCTGTTTTCCTTAATAGAGTCTATAAATGGCTAAATTTGGTTTAAAAGCTGGAAGATAAGAGCAAAGAATGCTCCCATGGAAACATCACAAAATAACTTTATTACCGCCATGTTTCAATTTTTCTAACCTGTTCTGTACAGAGATATTCTCCATTGTATGATTTGTCTCCATACTGAGAGCGTTCATGATGCTGTCAATTTCTAATCTAAATCTTAGTAAAGTAAAAAATTGAACATTTTCAAAGCGAGTGAAGGTATTCCCAAAACGAAAACACCGTCCTTCTTCATTTAGGAAGTCTGTCAAAGAAGCTTTAACTTAGCTTTTACTTGGTGGGTACTTTAATTTTCTATTTACCGAAAAATACATGGAGGGCAGTTCCAACAAAAAAGTTCAAACGGGTTCAAAACTTTTTCTTCGTAACTTGCATCTCAGCAGTTCAAGTACGAAGAGTTTCAATTAAAGTTTTTCATCGATGGACTAAATTCATCTTTGCCTAATATTCCCGACCCCGCGCAGCTGGTATTGCTTGGTGATTTTAACGTGAATTATTCAGAATCAAAAGGCGGAGAAAAACGCAAATTAGCGAGAACGGTTGCGTTGCATAATCTGGAGCAATTCATAACAGAGCCGACAAGAATTACAGCTCGCTCATCAACTTTGTTAGATTTTCTCTTCTGTAACACCTCTCAGCGCGTTGTCGATCATGGAATTATTCATCTTGCCTCGAGTGACCACTCACTTGTTTATTGCGTACTCAAAGCTGGTGTCACAAAAGCCCCCCCAAGAACAATAGAATGTCAGTCATACAAGTCCTTTAATACTAACGCCTTTAATCAGGACTTGGCTAGCGTCCCTTGGCATGTTGTTGAAAACGAGAATAACATTGATGATGCAGTGTTAACATGGAACAAATTATTTTCTGAAATTGCAGATGCTCACGCACCAAGAAACGGCGCGTGAAAGGCGTGCCTGTCCCCTGGGTGAGTGAAATTACGAGATTCTGTCAACAAAGGAATTAAGTCTTCCAAATCAAAATATTAGTGTGGGTTAATCAAGGAAAGAAAAGGCGACTAAAATAAGATATGGAAAACTATTAACGAGGTTTCCTGTAATTCTAAACATCATCTCAGTGTATAGTTTTTAACGGAGTGCAACACACAGATCCCAAAGCTATCGCCACGGTCTTAAACTCGTTTTTTTGACTCAGCTGGGAAGACATTAGCGGATAAATTCAGCTGCTTTCGCTCAAACTTTTCGAAGCCTAAAGAAGTCCAGGTCGGTTCTTTTTGTTTGAAAGAAATAGATGAATCCTTTGGTTTGGACAGAATCAGTGAATCAGAATCAGCTGAAATGTGCATCGTCTCGATATTTTCGTCACTCACCTAATTAATAAATCGAACGATTCACACAAGTAGGTTTCCTGAAATATGGAAATGTTCCAAGGTTACAGCTCTGTTCAAATCAGGTGACCAGACTAACTCATCCAACTACCGCCCGATATCATTTTTGCCAACTCAAATTCTCGAAAGAGCTGTTCACTTTCAACTTTATGATTACCTGAATACGGCCAATTGCTAACCGACAAGCAATTTGGTTTCCGACCAAAACACTCGACGGTTACTGCTCTATTAAGTTTTGACGATGACGTTCTTAGTAACATGGAGCGTGGGAATCTCTGTGAAGCTGTATTCGTGGATTTGCCAAAGGTTTTCGATACTGTGGATCACACTATCCTGCTCGCCAAGTTATCTTCCTTGGGATAAACTCCTAATGCTGCTCAGTGGTTTCAATCCTACATTAGTCATAGGAAGCAGCGCACCTCAGGCGGCAAAGAGATCTCCAATCCTCCACCTGTTACCTATGGTGTACCACAAGGGAGCATTCGGGGCCCTTACTTTTCCTTGTTTACATAAATGACCTGCCTACTGCTGTCAATCACTGTAGCGTATCCCTTTATTCTGACGATACTGTTTTGTACTGCTACACCTCTAACACCTCTAAGAATGCTCTTAATGAAGTTCTGCCGAGAATAGCTCTGTGGCTGAATCGAAGTAAGCTTACAGTTAACATAGCGAAGACAAAGTCTATTCTTATCGGCAGCGATCGCTAATTGCATGCTCCCACCGCTACATCTGTTTCAGAATTTGATAAAGGAGTTGAGGGAGTTGGACGCTTTAAGTACTTGAGTGTAACTTTGTCCTCAAATTTTACCTGCACGGAGCATATTGAATATGTTTCCACGAAGATAAATCAGCGCTTCGGGCTTTCAAGGAAAATCAAGAGTTTGCTTCCACGTAGTGCGCGTATTCTTTTCCTTAACTGTCTTATTCTCCCCTTGTTTGATTATGCCAACATTATCTGGGGATACAACAACAATGCTGTTCTCGCGAAAAATTTACAACTGCTGCTGAACAAGGCTGCCAAAACCATATTAACGACCGCCCTTTTCATTCATCTGGATGCTACCGACGGGCTTGAAGCCCTTGGTTGGTTAACCTTGGAGAAACGCAGACTTTTTCATCTTTGCCTTTACCTTTATAAAAGTGTTAATGAGACCTCAACCCACAGTATGGATCTATTGGCAAATAAAGATCTACACGGCTACGATATCGATACACAACACAAAGATAACTTGAGACTGCCTCGTGTAGGAAGAAACTGGGGAAAACAAAGGACCCATTATCAAGCTGCTAAAGATTGGAACAGTCTAGATCTGTGCTTATGCAATCAAATAACCTCGAGTCTTTAAGCGTAATTTTCATAATTATTTTCAATGTTGTTGAAATTTGAACAGTTTTATATCTTTTAAGAAAATCGAATGACTTTGAGACTTTTTAGCGCTAATTTTATTATCTTTTTAATGGTTCTCTGTGATCATTTAGGTTTTTAGTGTAGGACATTTTTTGTGGCTTTTTATCGTTTTCCGCTTCTTTTAATTTTTTCTATTTTCTATTTTCAGGACCTCTCTGAAACTCACCCTTGTAAGAGAGTCTCCTGGTTAAAAATTATTATTATTATTATTATTATTATAGAGTTTCATAACCGTTAGAATTCTGCTGTCCACAGTACTCGAAATTGGTGTAAAGAATGAATTACAAAGCTTATTTGTCCTGAATAAAATGCGGAGAATAGTGGCACTAATTATCATGTAGCCGTCTTCCCTTTCGAATGTCTATTAAGCTACAAGAAATATCTTCGAAAAAAACATCAACCGAGTTTTCATCATCGTCTTGATAATCTGAGTCATCCAGACCGGAAATACAGCTGTGTTGGTTACTCTCCAAGGCTGGCGTCATTGCTGCACCCTTCAGTGGCTCTTCTTGGTCCATGATCACTGAAAACGATGACGCTTTTACGTGGCGGTCAATACTCTGCAAGGTATTAACATTATGTTGTATAGATGGAATTTATAATTTTACCTAACAGCGGGCGCTTTTCCTGCTTACATCTAACAACAACAACACTGTTTCCCGGCGAAAGTTTCTAAGCGCACAACAATAAAATCTGAGACACCCGAGAGTAACAGTGCACTCACAGTTACCTGTGAATGTACAGTTGTACCATCTCAAAGGGGAGAAACGAAGTATCGGTTGTTGAACTAAATTTCCTTGGAGAAAAAGAATATCGATTAATTTGCCAAGTAAAATTGGGATTAATAGGCAAGAAAGTAATTCAGCGTATAACATCGTGAATGGCGTACCAAAAACATTGGCGCATATGATAACCAAAGAGGATAACATCTTTTGTTAGGTAAGAGGGAAATTTCCATGAAGTTTTATTTAAAACCAGACCGAATACTTTGAAACAATGTTCAAGAAATACCAAACGTACGCTATTTCAAGCAATTTGCAACCATGGTCCCTGAACTCGCTAACAAAAATAGTAGAAAATGCAAATGACAAGTTTTGTTGTAGTGTTGGAACAAAGCGAAAATAAATAAACTTCTTTTGGAATGTTTACACTCTCTTCCATAAGACAACAACCAATTAAACCGAAAAAGGATTCATTTGATTCAATTTACCTTGACTGGTTCTTGCTCGGCAATCTCAGCCTCAAAGGAATTGTGGGTCAAATGATCGTCAAAACCCTGAGTCACCTTCTTTCCCAAGCAAACTGGACAGAAAATAGAAAAAAATATATTCCACTGAAAAACGGAGGACCATGTCAAAACCTATTGTAAGAATCTGTCCTAATACTGCCGAAAATATAACTCATGTAGTGGAGAAATTAACCGACAATGGTGCAGCTCTGAGGTACACCTGTTCACTGGAACAAGCATCAGTTCCATTGTCAACTAGTTTCTCCAGTGCGTGGATGTAACGACTGAACTTAAAAACAATTAATAGAAATAGAGAGAAATTTCAAAATCTTTCCTCTGGTCGTATTTCTTTAAGACGGAATAGGATAAAACAGCGGCCTATAATTTGTTTATTGTAATGATAGCAAATACTTCCTCCTGACCATAAGACTTAGAGAGTTGGACTCAGCGAGACTTACCTTGGGGCTTACTTTTCTTTTCAACGTCCCTTGAAGACTGAAATACGGTGGTGGAAAGATTTCCTTCCTTAATATCAAATAATTGTATTAATTTAGATTTTTGCCAACTAAATGGCTTTAAAGAACCATCAATCTTTAAAAATGCGAAAGAAACTGTCTAGAAAGAAGCTTAATGGTTAGTTTACATTACACATTCAACACTTCACAAAACATGCAGTGTCAACATTTAGTTGTTAGAGCAAGAGAAAATCAGAACGAACGTCCAAAATAAACCTTCAATTAACTTGATGAACTACATCTTTATAAAGCTGGATGCAATTACAATTTGAATCCTAGCTTTCGCCTATCAACGGGTTCATCAGGGATACCTGATCCGATGATCCGATGATCAGGGTTAATCATGATTTGAAACATGCTGCTAAAGGATAATATGAACAGATGAACAACTCAGAAAGATCTGTTTTGGCCCTGAAAATGGGGCCGTAAGTTTGGTGCGAGTGTAAAATACAGTCCTATTTTTGGGTCTAATTTGGCTCCCTTTAATCAGGGCCCTTATGCAGTCCATTTAGCTTGGACTGATTTGCATCCACGGGCTGAGATGAGATTCCAGCAAGGGCTGGAATAGGCTTTTCATGGGGGTGCTTCAATGGCTCCAGAAGGGGCTGAATCAGACTTGTGCCTGCAGGGCTGAACTGGCACTTTGGGACTGGAACAGGTCTTTTAATTTTAAGTTTAATGTATCTAGAACGCTCTATTTTTTCTCAATTATCTACGAGTCGTATTGTTTTTTTGAGAAAGATCAAAAAGAACAGTCATCAATCGTTCTTCTACCATAGATCAAGCAAACATTATTTTCATGGAGAAAAAGAAAACTAATTGTTGAGCTGTTAATTCAGCGCCGTTCAGTTTACTCACCAAGGTAACCTGAGAATAATATTTGTTCTGTCCAGCTTTCTTAACTGATTTTCTCCGAACATAATCCCTTCGACTTCCATGGCAACAAATAACTCGTTTGTATTCAGCACGAATCTGAGCAAAATATACGAATACTATTAAATCTCTAATGAAAGGTATGCTTCATTTAATATAAAAAATAAAATAAATTAATATGAAATAACATGAAATGGTCGTACCCTTTCATCAGCTAAGCAATGGAACATGAAGATGAAGACTCCCTTGAAATTAAAAAAAAATATGCATTTATAATAGTTCATGACTTATGGAAACACCAACACATTAATTCTCTCAACTAATATTTCAGAGTCTGCATTTTTAGAAAGGTCGCAAACAACTCCATTAACCGTCTGAACGTTTTCCTATTATTTTCTAAAGAGACTTGAGCAGGTAGTTTCTTTAATGTGGTAATTAACGCTGACGTTTTTAAAACACATTTACCATAGCCTGCGTAGCAGGCGTCGAAAGGGGTAGGGGATAGGGGATAGGGGATAGGGAGGAAGGGAAAAAGGAGAGGGGGATTTCCCTTTCTCCCTATTGTAATGTCCCTTACAGGCCACCGTATTAAACTGCTGTTTAAAAAGTAAAAACTAAAATCCAAGCTTTCGTCGATCAACGGCATCATCAGGGATGAGAAAATATTCCGCGCGCGCTATATATATATGCAAAGAAGGTGTAGTGTGAAATGTGTAAAAGATGTGACGTATGTATGAAAGCTATAGAAATATATTGTGAATCGAATACAAAGCTCTAATGATGAAGTGTCTCTAGACAAAGGACCTCTAAACGCGCTTAAGACTGGAATACTAAAATAGAAGGTCTGCGAATTCACTACATTCTTCTCGGGAATTGAGTGTAGGCTTGCACTTTCTAACTGTAAAATGCTTCATGGAAGCGTAAGTTAGCGGGGTCGTTTTCGCTCATAATAATCTTGAAATCAATGCCTTTACAGTCTTTGTTCTGGCAGGAATAGATATATTTTTTAACAGAGGAGTTTTCATTATTGAGATGTTCTCTTACGCGGTCGTGGATGAAGCGTGTCGTGCTACCATGTGTATTGCTGATCGCAGCTGTTACACGTGAGCCGGTTATACTGCATTTCTTCGTAAACACATTTACCACTCTTCAATATTTGAACATAAATGTTGAAACCGCTTGAAAGGTCCTTTATGCGACCATAAATGCAATACCTGGAGACACATGATTTGTGGAGCTATCGGTACGATAAAAAAACATGAAATAATAGATCCTTTGCCAAGGTCAAATAAAAATTGCAGTTTTTCCTTTTATTCGTAGTCTTCGCGAAGTTCGACTGATCATACTGAATTTAGTGAAATTGTCAAGTTTCATAAAAATCCCTAAAAGTGAGAGCCTAAATTTATTTTAAAAAATAACTTAAGAAATGCTTGCTTCTTGGAATACATTTTTGGTAAATTTGGGCCCTCATATTTCTAAGAGTTTAAGGCTGCTTTTCACAAACTTTTGTAGACCAATTGGCTCGTAAAGACAATGACCAATTAGTAGTCTTTCAAACGAATGTCTCGTTTTCTCTCGATGCTATCAAAGAGACGGTTTTTTCTTTCTATGGTATGGTATGTTGTTAGTTACCTGGAGGACGTTAAAAATGTTGAAGAGGTACGCCATAACTATCGAAGACTTTCCAAAGAAAAACACACCCAGAAGCCATGTAGTACCTAACAGGCAAGTTAACACTGCGCATGCCTTGACCCAATACCTGGTTTAGGGAAAGGAGAAGTCAAATGGTTTCCAGATACAGAACGTATAAGGTAGCTATACCTATACAGTACAGTTAAATAAATAATGGACAACTGGATCTATTAGTATCATCATATTATCCACTGTACACTTTTCTTGTTTTATAAATAGAGAATACTTCTGCGGGCGGGCGTACGGTATTTACGCACGAGTTGTTGACGTATCAGAAATCTCACTCGTTCGCTGCGCTCACTCGTTCGATTTCTGATACCAAAGCAAAGAGTGCGTAAATACCGCGCGAAGCACTTTCCATCTGGTATTGTGTTTATTATGTACATACTGAGACAGTCATCATTTTGGCGGCCTTTTTATTACAAATCTTTCCAAAATACTAAAATTTGCCGGTACACACCGCGAAATGACAACGAAATCGAAGTATCAGCTTATTTGTAAAAACGTTTGTTGAAAATATAATGAGGGTAAGGATATTAGGTAATCGAAGAACTACAAGTAATCTTAACTGTTTGCTCAGAATGCTCCCGCGGAGCGGGGGTTGGCTTTAGATAGAAATGGATGTTGTATAAATAACCTGACTTACCGCATCTGGGGCGGTTTACGAGCAGTTTGCTTGGTGGACCTGTTTGCCATTGCTTTGAATGTCATTCCTAAAAACACCAGATTTACCTGAAAGTTTCACAAAACTAATTAGCAACTGTCTTCAGTGATTTGATCGTGCGTTCAATTTTAGCGACTACCCTAGTAAAGTGCGGTTAATTTATGTGGGCAGCGAAAGTTTAAAATGGGGTTTTCTTCATTTTCTCAGATAATTTTCTTTTTTCATCAAATTATAGCCAAAAAAATTAAACTCAATTTCCTTTTTAAATTTTGTATATCTGAATTCAGATTTTGTATTAACCTTGGGTTATCTGAACTCAGCTTGAACAACCCGGCCCACAGGTTTAATTTCGTATGTGGCGCTTCAGATCAAAAGAATGAATATGCTTAAAACTGTGCTATGAGAGTAGGAACATTGGGCAGAATGATCAAGGCAACTCAGCTTTAGACACAAGACTTGGAAATATTTCTTCATGGGCAAACCGATCGAGTATCATCGTACCACACATAACAGTAAAACAGGCCCAACAAAACTCCATATAAATCCATCTTCCACCGACAACCAGCAACTACAAACAAAAAAATAGGAAGCAAGTAAGTTACCTTCAAAGAGGGAAAAATTACTTTTATATCAATGAATAATTTAGATTTGAAATTAAATTTTCATGTTCAAAATCGTCGTTCATACTATGGCGGTTACCCTTAGGGTTGTTGTTCCACCAGGGTCCACTTGAAAGAACAATTGGACACAACTAAGAACAGGAAGGGCTGGATGGCCACCCTTTATAAAGATTGCTTCTAGATGAAGACTTACTGCTTATCAGTTGTATAGCCATGTTTGTTGATAAGAATAGCTGAGGCAACTGGAATTGTCGGAATTCCTGGAAATGAAACAAAATAGATCGTCGTGACAAGAGCAATCGAATTTAATAATATACTGACGGATTAAAAGCCTGCATACATTAATTCTAGCAACAACAATTTGCCGTCTGTCCTCTTTGATTTCAATATTAATGAAATTGGAAATCACTACCCATTGATCTGTACAAAAACAGAATCAGTAGACACTGTAGTGACAATTTTCGATTTCTAAATTAACTATCCACCGTAATTTGAATGCACAATAACTTACCCCAAGAGAAAATAAAGAACAGTTTTTTCTTCGGACCTCCACTGGTTGTTGGAAAAACTTTAACCAACATCAGGTAAAGGATAACTCCTTCAATTACCATCCAACAAAATGCAACAAGAAACAAATAATGAAGAAACACGGCGATGATGAAACAGGCGGTCTGTTAAAGAGAGAAACAAAACAAGAAAATATGAAAAAAAAAGAGTCGCTAAAGTTAAAGTAGATAAGATATGTCTTTGCATCACCTTGCAATCTAACGATCAGTTAAGACTTTATCCAGGGGACGCTTGAAATCCCTATACGAAGGTAAAATGCGGTGGCGTAATGGAATAAGGCCAAGGCCAAACGTCGAACTTTTCATGAGACGAACCAAACGTACTGAGTTTCCTTTTTCAGGAGAAAATTTATTAAACTTGTTTTGGTTTGATTCAGTTGATTTGTTAGAGGCGTCTTAAGTTCGACGTCTGACTTAACAGACGATCTTAACTTAACTAAGGTCGACCCAAATTAGAGTTTGGTTCGTCGAAAAAGAAAAGTTCGACGTTTGGCCTAGGCGTAAGAAATCCTTTTAATTTATTTCCCCTCAATTGACATTTTTTAGAAGGCCTGCTTTCGGATCCCCTTTTTCTCTTTTAGCTTCCCTCTGTTTTTTTCTTTCAGCAACGTGCACAGAGCTAAAAATGAACTGTAGTTACCTGATACCGAGTCTTATTAATGCCGATAACAAAGAGCATTTCAGCCAGGATGAGGGATAACACGAGATTGATGTGGGCAAAATTACGGTTTGACCTCAAAAAGCTGTAAAATAAAAACTTGAAAACGTTAAATTTAGAATTAGATCGTCTTAAACAGATTCTGACTATGTTTTTGAATTCTAAAGATTGATGAATCTAACTTTGGTTACTTAAAGCCAATGAAAGTTTTAATTTTAATGATCAAGATCATCGTCATCATCATCATTATCACCATAACCACCCTACCTGTATCATCATCATCATCAGACCAAATTTGGAATAAAATTTTTACCAATACTAATACGACTTATGTCAATCACATTGAAAGAAATAGGATGCTAAGCAAGCAGCGCGGTGGCTAAGCTGTATTGGCAATGCCGGACTGGAAAGAATGGTGAAATATTTCATAAGTTATGCGACAACAAGATAGCCCAAAAACTTCAAGAATAGAGGAAAAACATTTGACGAGATTAAGGTATTTACATAGATGTAAGCATTTTATGATTTGGTTTAAGTGAGGTTGTGGTATTAAGCTGTCACGTTGAAAGAAAGTGCTACTTCGGTCTTGTTAATTCATTAAAAGATGTGTTTGAGTAGAATGAGAAGCCTGCCGTTAAATATATGCTCAGCTATCTTATAAGGGATTAAGTACTTACGTTAAAGATATGAAAGTTACCAAGGCTAAAACGAGGGCTACAAGAGATATGCTGATGCCAACATAAGTTATCACACTCAGGGCGGTCTCATCGGATTCCTACGAAAATACGAGAGAATAAAGAAAAAAAAAAGAAAAGAAAAATGGTGCTTCGTGATAACCCTGAAAATACTATATAAATTGAATTATAGTTATAAATATAATGACTGAATAGATTAAACTTAGTTTGAAGGGAGAAAAAATGACGAATTAGGTCACCTTTACTGTATACGTTCCTGGACTGTACTGCATCAGGACACTAAAGCTTGTCAGATGATAACAGTAACAGATAGTGTGAGTAGAGTTGGCTAAATTGACGCGACAACCTTCCGTGGACCACGAACTAGCAGACCTAAAAGTTGCAAATGCATTAGTACGCACAAAGAAGTATGGGTAGTAACTTGTTCTGAGACAAACTTTTCAAGTTTTTAGGAATGTTACGACGGATCCCCCTTCTCTGTCACAGTCTACTCTCAGACTACTTATTCAAGCCATACTTTGTTATTTGACATTCCTCTTGCTTCCCCAGTCTCCCTTGTAAGTCGGAATAATGGCCATCATAGCCATATACAGTGTTCATACTCTCTTCGAACGGTCACGAACGCCTTGGACATAGCGGGCTTTTCTGTTTTGAGGTTCGATTGTGGTGTAAGGAGTCGTTCATTATAAAAGGCAAGCACTAAATCAATGCTAATACTATAAGGAAATGACAACGCAATTTATGTTCTCATTCATATTGCACATTATTCAATGCAAAAGCAAACGTTGCGCAGCATAGCGCTTATTTCTGAGTTTAAATTTACTTACTTTCTGAGTTCAAATTTACTTACTCGGATATTTTCCAAAACACGCACAAGGGTCGAAGATCTGTGTCGTTCTAAAAGATAATAGAAAAAATGAGATCTCAGCTGTTTATAGAGATAGGCTTTTGTAAATTATCTTGCTACTAAATGGAAGTAAAAAAGATTGTTACGAACTTAATAAAGAAAGAAAGGCATAAAGTGCAAACAAAACCCTGAGACTCATTCTGTAAAGGATTCCTCAACTAATGTTAAATTAATATTAATTGCTAGGATTAATGGCTCGAGCGAAAGTTGCCGGAAAGGCAAAATAACAACAGTGATAATTGATCGAAGATATCAAGAAGCAACTACGCAAAATACCATAGACAGAAAAAAAAGTTGAAAAAGTGTTTGAAGAATCGAAAGGTAGAATATATGTAAGAAGCTATTTCTTCAAAAGTTGTAATACTTTTGAACTAAAAATGTCTGGGCTATTAGCCTACTGAAAAATAGCGGATCACAACACTGGAGTGGAAAAAGCTCTTTGATAGTTCTACACAAAATGCAACTCCCTTGACCAATGGTCGTCCAAAATAACTTCAAAGAAAACTTGCAGCTTTACTTTCCAGATTAACGCTAGTAGAATTACAAGCTTTTGTTTCTAGGTCTGAATTTCATGAATTTCATAGTCTTGAGATTCATTGAGAGCATGTTGACTTAGAATCAAAAGCCGTTAACAAGTGTAGGCAACCAAAGTTCACTTTCGGCGATCAAGAATCTCAGTATGAGCAAAGAATAAGTTAGTGCCATTGGCAAATAAAACTACACTCCAAAACTTTTTAAAACATCACAGATATGTTAAATACAGGTGAAAAAAAAATCAGTGATCCAAGGCTCGAACCCTCAAAAATTACCTGAATTTTTTTAATTAAAAAAGCAAACAAATAAAAATGGCAGATAAGAAATAGCAAAATTTCGGTCAAATATGTTATTTATGATTATATTGACCAATGAGATATTATGACGATCGCAAAAAGTTGGTATTAAGTTTGGTATAATGAAGAAATTTCAGTTGATAAATGCATGACCGACTCCAGAAGTTTTCTCTTTGAGGATGACTATACAAAGCTTGGAGAACCTTGGGTTGAGGATGTCGGTGACCTTAAACAAGCAAAAAGTTCTGGAAAACATTTGATTCTATTTTCCCTGCGCATGCTCACCACTGGAATGAAAAGTGATGAATTATGACAAGAGATTTTGAAACATGAGCAACAAACCAATAAAAACCCAACAATGTTATATACAATACTCCGTCAATTGTACTGTTATTTTCTTACCTGTTTGTTTTGTAGGATAATCACCACAGGTTTTTCAAAGTTCTTGGATGTCCTTAGACTAGTCGACAGAGAAATGACGCCGGAAGCTAAAGTTGCCTGGTGATCAAACCTGACCCTATCACCTTTATTCTGAGTAGCAGCATGCCTGAATAAATGCGATTATACATTTCTTATTAAGGTACTGACAAATCAAAAAATGTGTCACTGATATTTCATCCTCCTCATCAATCATCATTTATAATTTATACGAACCTTAAACTGGACGTTGACATCAGTTGCCCAATGTTGTTCATGTAGATGAACGCGATTTGATTAACGCATTCTATTTAAAGAAACACGCACAATATTTACAAAATGTTTGATAACAAGAATTATTAATCATCATAAGAATGTGGACAGCATAATGGGAGTTTATGTCAAGGTATTTATTTCTTAACACAAGGGCTCTCAGACTCAGACGGCATATCTGAAGCATATCTGGTTTCAACCAATCAGAATCTTGAGCGTTCCGGTTTAGGCCATTCTAAACCATGCTTTTCTATTTGCTCCCCGTTTGACTGCTCGTATTATCACACCGTAAACAATCGCTTGCTTTTAACTGAAATGTAGCTGACTTTTCCACATCTTTGCCATTGAGAGATTTGCATACTGTTAATGTTATGAGCAAGAGATCGAGGACACATCCACTTCGTACAAAAGCAAAGTTTATTTTAAACCAACTCAACACGTGTTGATCCAAACCACGTGATCTTGTTACAAAGTTCAACCAATCATAACAGTCAAACCCCTCTTTTATGGCACCCGCTTAATACTGACACTCCGTTAATATGGACGCTTTCTATGACCCCATGCATCAGTCTCCGTATTAACAGGCCTAGACTATATTGTATATTGGCAGATGTCTTTGGTCAATGTTTTTTGTTCTCAAATTTTGCCTAGCCAAACAGAGCTTCTAGTCGCCCAAAGTACTTTCATTAACCACACTATCTCATTTGAAACGCCTTGATAAAAAATAATGTTATGCAGCAGACTGGTTATGCAGGTTTGTAGCACAATTTCTACCTGCATTACTGAACAAAAGTAAAAACAAGCGGAAAGAAGCAGGAAACAAACCAGTTGACGAACAAGCATTTTTGTTATCAATGGTGTTACAAAGTACCATGATCTAAGGGAAGATTTTGTGAGTCATATACCAGTGTTTTGTAAATCATAGCGCGTAATCTTTTAGTCTGCTACACAGCCGTTCCTTGTGTCGTCACCCAACGCTCCTCTCCACAAACGACTGCAGAGAACCTAACATGCTTCTCAATTTTTAAAAAATCAGTCAATCACGTTGCGTGACAGCGCAAAGAACAGCTCTGAAGAAGCAGACAGAAATCTTTCGAACAAAGGCCAAAAACGATCTACAGAGAGATTAGAGAGACTTGAAATCAGCCAGTGCTGATCAGGTGTATGTTAACTATCTTCCTTTCAACGTCAAGGTACCTTAGTTTCATACCTGAACTGTTACATTCTTTGTACATTTCTGAGGTGGACATCTGAATCGTGTTTCCAAGTCCTCTATCCTTAGAGGCAAAGGACAAAGCTTCTGGGATGAATGAGTTCTTTTCAAGTGAACAGAATCTCAAGACTAAAACCAAAAAGCAAAACAAATGTTAACTTGCCAGACCTACACGACATTAGTCGCACTTTGACATTGCTGTAGGAAACTCTAATTAACTTCTCGTTGAGTGCTAATGACTTGTCGTTGTCTAAAAAAGGCGCCCGCAGTCCCACTATTGTTGGCAGTGCTGTTCCTACATACCTATATTTGAGGTTTGGACACTGGTTGTATTGGTATTGTTTGAAACTGAAGCAACCTTAAGCGACAGATCCTCCATTGAAATTAGGAGTTTTGTAGCACAGCTGGAACGAGAAGCCTTCGAAAAATAGTAAAAAAACGAAATTGGCAAATTAGTGAATGGAAATAGCAAAAGAGCTCATTATTCAAGAGCATGTACAGGATTTTTAAACGGTCGAGAGAGAAATTCAACCAATGTTTGGAACGTATAATTGTAACCCTTTACATGGTAACTCAATCAAAGTCACAAACAACACGAAAAGAAAAACAGCCAAATAAGTGAAATGGCAGAAAAAGGACTTAAAGCAGGTCCAATGTTCCACGGTGCTTCTGCCCTTGCTGCCGCTACACGCTTGTTGCCTTAAAAAGTAAGAACGGCTTTTCTGTACGTGAGTAGTAGAGTTGGGATGGAATTAACCTTTCTTTTTAGGAGAAATCTTATTAAGGAAGGCAGAAATACATGAACGCCAAGCTGAAATTTCAGTAACATAAGGTCATGTGTTATTTTTTAGGGTTTTTAAGTAGTTTTACAGGTTTTAGATCGATGAATGTCTTGCTTTTTGATTGGTTGACTAAAAAAGAAGAAATGTTTTCATCTGTTGATTCAAATGTGGCGCAAATCGTTCGATGAGCTTGAAGGCAAACTAGCTAACACAATTTCTTATCACATCCCCCCTTTTTCTCCTCCACGATTCAGTTATTTTGCTCCTACTAATTTATTCTATTTTACCTCCACTACCACATTTGTAATGTTCTCCCTTCGCCAATCGGATCTATAACAACTTGTTGTCTGCAGTGGACAATGAAAGCGGTGGGAAATAGAACTTGCACAATTACGTTACGGCTCAGTGAGTTTAGGTCACATGCTAGTTAACGCTTATTCTTTCGATAAAATCAATTAGCCAATAAATACTTTTCTGAAGTTTTTGTCAACCAATCAACAAGCAAGACGTTTGTAGATCTAATACTTGTCAAACCACAAATCCAAAGCACAGCATCGTAGTCAACGGGCTTTTCGTAGTGAATGTTCATGATAGCTAAGGCGGACAGCCTTTCCGTTGTCGTGGTGGTGCGCGTTTTACAAGCTTGAAGTGACTGGCTTTATTGAGCAGCAGAGGTTTAACTTGGTTCTGAATTTATTGCATTTAAGATTCACTGCATTCATTTTATATTTTGACAAGTTTTTGACGTAAGCTGTTTTAACTTAGGGGGTTCAATCGAACCCCCTCCCCCTAGATCCGCCCCAGAAACCAGTTAAACCCTCTGAAAAATAGCACATGACCCTATCTTAATCAGAATCCACCGCATTTCAATCATGAAGTATGGACAAAATCTATGACGTCATCGGCGTTCATGTATTCCTGACCTCCTTTATGAGATTCCTGCCCAAAAAGGTTAATTTCATCGCTATTATACTAACTGCTTGGAATCTTTCAAAGGGAGATGGCTGGCCACCCAGCCCGCCCCACCCTTACTTAAGCCCGAGCCTCGTGCTCCAATAAACGGAAAACAGTGAGGCCTCTGTCGGGTATATGAAGTAAACAATCAGTCGTACCTCGGAGGAATCTTGCCAAGCTTCCATCACCTTGTCATGAAGAAGGTTGCTTGCTACTCCGACAACACCCTTCACAAAATAACAACAAGACATGTAATTGGTTTAAGGCTCGGTGGCGACAATTGAGGAAGGTAACCTTATAATGCCAAAAGGTCAATGGCTGATGCTGCTACTTCACTTTCTACACATGCTTACTTCTATCAACTGAGTGGCGTTTTCCTGTTTCGTTGTTGCATTTATTGCTGTCTTCTGTCCCAAAGTCTGAAGAATGTCCACTGCAGTGAATAAATCACCACTAACCACAAGGTCATCGTGCTTAAAGTTCACACTGATACGCAGCAAATCTTTTGTTATTGACATAGCAAAGTCAGGCTGTATTATTTGCGAAGAGGTCTATTAAAACAAAACAAAAAAAGTTTAAAATACATTCGTTAAATATGAAGTGGCAAGTAAAACTGTAATAACGAATGTTGTGCTGCAATTGCAGCTAAATAAGTTCTAGCTTCAGTTAAATACTAATTAATTTGTGGGTAAATTTAATCATTTCATATTTGTGATACGGTTTGGTTAACCATTACAGGAGTACACTGCCATAGCTTTAGCGGACATTTTTGATAAAAGTTTTAGGCGATTATTCAACATACCTGTGACTTAAGCTGTAGGAGTCTCCTGGAGACACAATTCGTTAAATCTGGTTTTTTCCAAGACACCTTTCCAGCCGCTGAACAACTGCGCGTAGCATTTCCTGCATACAGTCAACACAGGGACTTATTACTTGAACGCAACAATTAGCCTTTGATAGATTGTGCTAGCATAATTTTTGGAAGAATTCGTCATTACGAGCACAATTTTCATCTATACTCCGAAAAAAGCACTGCTAGCGTAGTTAATACACTTTTGGCTAGTATTGCCGCACAAAATTATTTTTCGGCCCACCGGAGATCACTGTGTTACAGGCAAATTTAAGAAACAAAATCATTTTTTGTCTCCTTACAGTCCTGCAGGAAGTGAGCCAGGACTTGTTGTGTTTGCCATTTACTTGTTTGTTGCATAGTTATTGAGGTGTTTTTTTTTTTCACAAATTTTAAAAGTAAAAAGTAGAAGCAAGGTTTCTGCATTTTTTGCTAAAGAGAGCATAATTTACAAAAAGTAGCATATTTATTTGTATAATTTAGCACTATGCTACTTTTGCAAGCACAATCTAGCAAGCAAAACCTAGCAACGACGGGGAAGAATTTTGGAATCGTTTAAACTTGAATGGAATAAGCCATGTTTCGTTAAGGGCACGTCCACACGAATCCAGACATGTTTTGAAACCTCCTACTTTTTTACCCGAATTCGTGTGGACGGAGCCGTAAATCAGTCTGGAGAGCGGTTTCAAAGAAATGCAGTTTCGGAAAGCGGATTCACAGGTTTCGCATACAGCCATTTCGAGAAACGATGTCGGAAAAAGTGCACGCGACAATCCCGATAGGTAGAATTGTGGGTGGTTTTGAGTTCACTGTTCTTCAAAGAAATTTGAAAGAATAGCACGAGAGGCCATGGATATATGTTTGCGAGTGCTAAAGGAAAGCAACAAAAGTAGGTTCGACAGCTACAGTCGTCGGGAACAGTGTATTGATCATATCCCACATTGCCATTCGAGATTGTCGCGTGCACGTTTTTTCCGACAACCTTTCTCGAAATAGCTGGATACGAAAGGCCGATGCTTTAAAAACATATGCGGTTTCAAAATGTCCTAAAAGGCAATTAACACTCTATACAAGTAACATGACTATTGGAAAATGTATTAACAGTAGATAGTATCTTAGGCTCTCACCTGAGAATCCAAATGGACAAGGCTTCCTTACAGTTTTACCTTTCTCTGTTCTCATCCAAGAAATATTTTTCAACAACTCGCTTTCACAGTACTCGCCTTCAGCTTTCCCTTTTATTACCGGTAGGGCTGAAAATAATTTATTAGATTTCAAATCATATTAGTTATGAATAAAACCAGAAATAAAACGCACATCTAATGTGCCCAGACCAAGCTTTTAAAAATTACTAAATTTTGTCTTACCTACACAGCTATGACCATCACCCGTATAGCCTTTCTTACAAAAGCAGTAATAAGAACCTTTGGTGTTTTTACACAGGGCATGCGCATGACACTGATTCTTATCCTTTTTGCACTCGTCTAAGTATCATAATGACAGTAAAAGCAAATTATTATCATCATTTTTATAGGTTCGCTAAACGCTCTCAGTATGAATTAATATTTTCAGGTTGCCTAACATAAAGACGATATTATGTATTTACAATTATTTAAAGCAGATGAACTTTCAAATTCCAGGATAGAAAACTTCTCCACGACTAAGCATACATAAACTTTTGATTCCAAAACGGAATCTTTATCAAGTGATGGAGTTCGTCGTTTTGTCAGCTAATCTAGACGATTAATCACGTGCCGATTCGTGCCAATACGTTCCGGTAGATTGCCAACCTACGTTCCTGGTCACGTGGAAATGTGTGTCAATAAATTGCGCAGCGAGGGTAGGTCCTTCACTAAATTTTGTCGACTGGATGATGAAATACCATCTGCGGTAGGGAGAAAATTGTTACTTCAAAATGGCGCTTGAGTTTCTGAGTTGCGTGTAAATTATGTTGCTTTTAGCTAATTCCGATAACATTATTTTGGAGACAAAACGGGTTATTTGTTTAGAGAGTTTGTACTTGAACTGTAACTGTACTCTGCTGACCGTTTGACATACCTGTTACGGTTCGTTTTTTATCAGTTTTGGCGCTCTTTTGCACTGTCTGAGGACTGCCGCCGGCTGCTGTATAACTCTGTATTTTCACTGTATACTCTAAATCGGGTTTCAGGTCTGTTAGCAAGTACTTTGTAGCTTCTTTAACAACGATGACCCTTTTACATTTACCGTGGGTAGATTCCACAGTCAACTGCAAAGTAGAGATGTAAAAGATTACTGCATGATCACTCTACTCAACTCTTAGCCACTGTTTCCGCAGTGCCGATTTGTTCTATTGTAATCGCTTCCTTTCCATGATAAATCTGAACAAGAGGGGGATCCCTGCCTTTAACCACTATTAACTATTTCTGTTGTTAGGAACCCTTGTCCATTAAATACCATCGCTTGGCACTTCGTTACCCACTGTCACTGTTCATTAACTGGAAATCGGCTCTAAGTAGCGGATATATATTTTTTGGGCTTGAAAGATAAAATAAACAGCCTAAGCTTGAAAGTCTAATACGCTATGATCCGTTAGAAGAGAGATGCTGACTTCGAGATTATCTAACCATCAATAATATAAAAATACCCAGTCTTTAAAAAAACGATGCTTTTTCATTTTTTGTAAAACTATGGTTTTCATAAGTTAGAAAGTAAAAGTTACTTAAAATATAATATAACTGTCAAAGTATTTTAAACGGACGTGTCCCATGTAAGATCATCTTCGTCAATGAGTTCGCTTATGTACTTTTTTGCCTACTGAATAGGGTTTTCGGGTACATGTATTAAGCACCGCCGGGAAGTGGAGTTTGAACACGGTAAGGAGAAAAAATCAAATCACGTTAATATGCCTACTCCAAAAGTGTAAGCTTATAGTTAATTGATCACAATCTAAAACCAACAATGGCAATCTTACGTTGTAGCCCAGAAGTATCCCATTTATTTGCGCTGGAGGAGACCATTGCACCAAAAGAGACGTCGAGCTCTGAGCAGTGATCCTTAAATTCTGAACTTTCGTTGGCACTAAACGAAGATCGTTAGAATGTCAGAAATTTAAACAGTGCTGTTTGCATTGATTATCGGTTTGTTCCAAGCAGTTAGTCAACTTCCTTTCATGGAACAGTACTGTTGTAATTATTTCACGTGCCTTATCGCGTTTTGATAATCCCCGACTCCCGCCCCCTCGGTACATTTGAAAATCAAGATGACCACCATTAATGGTAAGACGCACTATATCTCGACGGTCTCACGAAAAAATTGGGGACAAAATTAAGGAGTAATTCGTCACCTATGATATTGCTATAAATTTCAACTGGTCCATATTCATACCCAAGAGGAAACTTATTGAGTCAGATGTTCCTTGTTTTTAATTTTTGTTAAGGAGGTGGTTAAAGTGTAAGTGTAAGTGTAACTCAATAAATTGACCTCGCTCCCAATGTGTGGCTTCATAGCTCAGTTGGTAGAGCAACGCACCGGTAACGCGGAGGTCACGGGTTCGAATCCCGTTGAAGCCCTGATTTTTTTCAGGTTTCTTCTTTCCAATTGCTTAAATTGGAAAATTTACTGCGATGATCATTCTTCACTTTGATCTACAACCGCAGTTCAAAAATGAATTATTTCATATATACTTCACATCAAAAGTGTAAGTGTTAGTAAAAGTTAGCTTAATTTAACTTTTTCCTTACCTCCTTCTTTGGTCCGACAAAGCAAAGCCCCGATGCGCTTCCTTTCACTTTCGGCTTTCAGCCAAAGACGAACCTTATATAAAGCATATGGCACTAAAAACGAATTAATAACAAGACTATTGACCCTGCATGGTTACTTTTCTTTAGAGACCTCAAGTAAACTCGCTAGAGTTGATGTCAGTCGAGCTTTAATTTTCGAAATTTCGATGTCCCCTACGCTACGGGATCCGACGGTAAAAGATTTTGTAACGACATCTGCAAAGCAAGAGCACTATGCTGGAATTCATGGTAAATTTACTACCACACTATTAGTTTGTCGTTTTTTTTAGTTCAATAACCCACACCAGTATTGTTCAATGACCACACATTAGTTCACTGAGCGTAAACTACATGTAGCTGCGAGGAAAATAGCCACAAATACGTTAGATATTTTTAATATGAATATGTAGCATTAAGTAAGCGGTAAATACTCTTTTAGCAACGGTACAAGAATTAAATTGATAAATAGCTATGGTACACTGTTGTTCTAGTGAGCTCACTAAAATAGACTAGAACATAGACTGATGTTAATTTAAAAGTTATAGTCTGCTCAGAAGGTCTGTCATTCTCATCGGGGGCACAAAGAACAGACCCGGAAAGAGAGTCAGCGCTGAAAAGGGAAAGCTAACTCGTTCCGGAGAAAACTTCACACTAAAAAACTGACAAAGTGCTCGTTGATAAAGCAGGAAACATAACGGTTAACGGTGGATGAAACCTTGTGTTTTGACTCTCTTTCCGCACGTTTCAAACCGTGGTACCACAGCTGGCCCTACCTGACTGAGTCGACTACCATCAATCCATATTTAAATAAACAGATTTTTTTTACCGCACAAGTCCTGGACTTCCAACTTTCAAAATGTTTGTAAAAGTTAACGGCTCTATCGACTAGACCACCTCGGTAAAAGCTAAAAGTTAACGGCCCTATCCACCAGACCACCTCGGTAAACGCTATAGCATGGTATTACTAATGAGATTGTTAACTAGAAAGTGATGACGGAAATGTGAGGGGGTTTTACAACCATGATATCCCGCCCATAAACATCCCTCTCTGTTTTTACATGCACAAGCACCTAATACATCGGATGCCTGACGCACAAGGGCAATGACCTTCCACAGTAAACTAAGCTGTCAGATCTGGCGAATAGCGGGCAGTTTAAGGGAAAGACATGGTTGCCATATACCAGAATAGCCCAGTATATGGAATTAATGGCTCAGTTTTCCTTTTTGTTTAGTTCAATTAAGACACCAAAGTTCAAGAACGACAGTATATAGTTCAATAACAACTACATGAGTTCAGAAAATGACACAAGTATATTTTGGAATTCATTCCGTATCCCGCAGCTGTGATTACATTCACCATGCTTAACACAATTCTTACCGGAGAGGGTGTATTTAACGATGAACGTTTTCTAATTCAGCCATTTATGGGCAAAGGCGGAGGGAAAGGTATGGGTGAAATGGCTATCTTTTTTTTAAGTTAACGGAGGATCTTGAAGTGAGATAAAAGCCATAGGATATAAACTTAAAATTTTAATATTAGTATGTGTAATCAAATAGTGAAGAGTGAAATTAGGGAATAATTTCACGCCCGTTTCCCTAGCCTTTGACCAAACGCAAATGAAATTATTCCCTAATTTCACAAGTATACCATTTGATTACCTATTAATATCATGGGTGACGAATTACGTTAGCAATCTTGGATTTTTGACATGTTTATCCAGGATCGTATCGATCAAGGTTAAGAACTCTATTCTCGCGAACGTTCAGAGCTTAAATTTGGCTTTAGTTCATGTTAGTTGATGTGTTCTTTCGTGTGTTCAGGTTTTCTAAAAAGTCTTTTTATGCCCTGACATCTTCAATCATGACATTTTAAAACTTCGTCGCCTCCTTGACACTGAGACTTACGGAAGGTTGCCATGGCAATTTTGTAATTTTACAATGTGAAGTTACAAATTATCGCTCAAATTTTGCGCCAAAAAGAGTAATTCGTCACCTATGATATTACAACAGTTGATTAGCGGCGCATGCGGCTCTATAACTGGCAGCAAGATGGAAATTGCAATGAGTATTAGTTGGGTTGGATTGCTAAGTTATGAAATGCAAGTAAACATGCTTACCCAGGCGACTGAAAAAATAATGATTAATAAATAAGTTGAGATCCTCTGCAGCTTTAATGTGCTGGTGATTTCTCGAGATTTTCACTGTAAACCCCTGCATCCTTGTAGAGAATATGTTTCGTTTTATCGTCTGCCACGTTATGTTCAATGTCGTGTTCGTTGAAATACAAGTTATTTCTGAGAGCTTGTCTGAAATGCAAGAAAAGAAAACATTATTGGCTTAGGACATTTCAGATGTGTCATTTCTTAAATTGGTGAGGACCGCATGTCCTTTAAGAATAGGCTGAACTTAGAAACTTACTCATTTGGGACTGAAAAAGTCTTTTGACTTCAGGCTCCTTCAGCGACCTGTTCCATGTCATAACCTCATCGTAGAAACCCCCGCTTTCCAAGTATAGTGACGCAGGCACCCCTTTACCCGGAAATGATCCTCTCAGTTTTAGAAGTTTTTCTAATGGCCTATCGCTTACATTTTCATCCAGAGATAGTTTCACTTTGATCCCGTTCCAAAAAACTCTTAGCTTATCACGAATTGTCACGTTCCATGTTAAGGTAATGAAATCCCAAGTATTATTTGAAACACGAATTGGTGCTTTCCATCTGAGTCCATTGACATGAGCCGCCACAGTGAGACTTTTATTTCCTCTAACTTGGGTTTGGTAGACAAAAACGCCGTGTATTTCGGAGCCATTTCGAGCTGTTCCAAGTAAAATTTGAGGAGAAGTTGCATTGGTATTTGGTTGTATCCAGAACGCCAAGGAATATCCCGAATGACAAGTGCTCATGTTAAGAAGGCAGGGATCTGCGAAGGTGCCAAGGATCAAGCAGGACATCCCACTCAACCTGAGGTAATCCATGGATTTTAAAGGTTCCTCATTACCCATAAACGTTCCTTCTTGACCTGTTATCTTATCCTTATAAGGAAAAGGTTCGTTGAAATTCCAGTGGTGTGTCATTGACTGGTATACATCTAAAGTCAACAAACGTGGCGGTGAGTCATATCAGCCACTCGGCTGAGCCCAGAATTAAGTACTAACTATCTAAATCAAGTAAGAACGTAAGTAATTAAAATAAGTAAATAAGTTAGTAGGCATGTACGTAGGTTAGTAAGTACTCAATTTTAACGTTGATACAACTAGTTTTGTCCAGGTAACCAGTTTATAATTTTGTCGCGCGTGTGGATCATGCTGGCCTGCAAACTCAAGTGGTCTGCAATCAGTAAGAGGGGTTGAAAGGAGTTATTGCGTGATACGTGATTAAGTGTTTTTAATTTTCGTGAAAGGTGAAAATACGAAATTAAAACCCGTGAACTGTGACTGGTTTGCTTGTCGTGATATGTGAACTTTAAAATCTTTTACCCGATATTCGTGATTTTCAACTAATCTTTTCGTGAAAATAGTCTCAACTGCAGACAAATTTCACGGGGAAGCCGGTGGACCTTCAAAATGAACTTTTCTAAAAGGTCTTAAGAGACTCAAACGAATTTTAGCCAGCGGTTGACAAAACCGTGTTCCATACATGCCATTTTCAATTTTTTTCAACGCTTTTATGTTAACACCGGTTATCGTGAACGTTTCATGGCAACAACAGGGTAGACTGGAGAAACAATTATTTTCTTAACCTTTTTCGGACAGCTAGGGTCGTTTATGTCCCCATATGGTACAACGTATACAATTTTCCCTTGACCCATTTAGCTTTCAGTTGATGCTAATAAATTGGTAAGCAACAACGTCAGCAAAGATAGATCTTTCCGGCGATACCTCGTTTTGGGATATTCTGACTAACCCTGACAGAGTTACACTGACAAAATTAGGTAAAATTCTGGGGAAAATTCCACTGCCAATTTCGCTGTTTACATACTACTACTTGAAAATTAAATTTGTCCCTTTCCTAAAAAGTCAGCCAGCCACAATTCCATGCAAAAGAAAGACGATTAAGTGGGCAACAAAACCGCCAATAAAGAAGGAAAAAAAGAGGGCGAGAGAGACAGATCGAAATAGATTCGCCAAAAAAAGTCCAAATTTGCGCATGCGTGAAAAACAAAAAAAGCTGTTTAATTTCGTCAGATTAGTCGGCAAATATGTCTTTTTTTCTTGCAAAATTCGTTTTTAGCCATAATTATGCTGAGTAGCCGAAAACTAGTCCAAGGAAGAGGAAATGGTGACAAATGCTGTTTTTCGCTACTCGCAGGCCGTCACCAAAAGGTTAAAATAACTCCTTTAGAAAGAGATCTAGATGCCCAATGATTTCTTAAACCGCGGCCTAAGTTGGGCTTTTTTTTTAAATAACCGGCCCTTACAGTCGTACTTATATATGTCGTCCTAAACTATGATCAAGCCTGCGAGAGCAGACAACTTTTTTGGCTCTTGTTTCACTCGCCGAGGAAAGGGCGTCTGCGATCCCGAGCTGGGAAATGATTTCCGTGAGCTCATGAGTCAGTTTTCTCAACCAATCATAATTCAACTCTTATTTTCGTGGAGCTAACACATGTGGGGTTTGCTTGGGGATCTTGGTTGAAATGGCCGGCAGTTTTTAAATTAAAGGGACAAGTTCTTAAATTGGAAGGAGTAATATATTATGCAGATCTTAAATCTGTGGGATCCATGGGTTTTCTTGGAGGTAAAGAACGAATTCGAATACCCATAAACAGTAAGCATTCATCCCTTGAAGCTCTTAAGCACCACATCATTGAGTACACTGGTTCGAAATCTGAGTCCGAAAAGCGTGGTCTAATAAGATCCTCGATTGAAATAAAACTTTGTCGGTTAGAAACGTCTGCAGAATGAAGCAAAGCTTCTGCGGTAAACATCGACGACAACGAGGATGAAATGACTTTTCTACGAGCAGTTACTATACTCGTAGCCGAAGAACCGTCAAACTCAACTTTGAGACTAGCCTGAAATTCATCCGATTGCTTCGAGTCGTTTTCTCCTCGCAACAACGTCTGAATCGACCGGCCGTTAATGCCGTCCAATGACGTCACTCACTACCGAAAACCGGGTAGTGATTTTGATTGGCTGATTGTCTAAACATTCGCATAATTATGTATAATTATGAAAAATTTTAGCGGGATTGTCGCTTGATATTCAGCGGATCGCATGCCTGGCAGTTTTTCGTTTAGTTCAAACATTTCGATAAGCTTAATCTTTATCTTAAACAGCAAAATTGCCCTTGTCTTCGAAACTGAAATGCTAAATTGAACTGCGAATGAAGAATCATTGCGGAGAGTCGGTAGGTTTTTCATTTAGAGCCGCTTTGTGGTTTCGGCAGCCGGTGATTTTGTTTACGCGAAGTTTTCTGATATCAGTGCTATAATTCGACCTTCTTGCTATTTTTATCGTCAAGTGTAATGATTCTGTTAGCTTTTCTTTCTTGCCTCCTTTTTTTTTTCTTCGTTAAGGACCAATTCAAATAGCTTCTTTTCAATTAAAGTAAATCATTGTGTTTTTGAACTAAGTGTTACGTGTGTGTGTTTATTTCAGTGAGTGATTGCGACCGATCGAGTTTGATTATAGAATTTAGTACAACCGGTTCAGAGTTGTCCTGCACGCAGTTGATAGTTTGAGCGTTAAACATGAATTACGATCGAAAAAAATAAAGCTCTGTATCAAGTTCTGTATCAAGCAGACATTTCCAAATGATATTTCTCGGTTTGCCACTTGAAAATCGTGTTTTACTTTTTGCATGAATTAAAGCAAAGGTCAAGGAGTAGTGACGTCACTGGAAGGGATTAACGGCCGGTCGATTCAGACGTTACTGAGGGAGTAATAACGACTCGAAGTAATCGGATGAAATTCAGGCTACTTTGAGACAAGGGAGAGTCAAATGACTTTTGAGTACTATGTATCCGTCAGCATTAGTCATCATCAGTTTACCTTCACCTACATTTCATTGTATGTTTACCTGACTTCCGTTACTTCCCTGCAGTAGTTGTGCTGGAGGCCAAAATGTTAAACGTAGGTTCTGCCAAGCACTGGTTTTTACTTCGGAAATGTCCGTGAAACGTGAACACGGAATTTTAATCCATGTGATGCGCTATTTCTACTTTTTAATGTCCGTGATTCGAGCGTAGGACCCCCCCACCCCCCTCATGTAACGACGTCATCAAGCAAAAACTTGATAGGCGTTGTTTGGCCTGTTTTTACGACCGTTTTGGCATCAAGAAATGTTTGTGGCGATTTCTTTCGACGGCGACAGTATTTTACGGAGAACAATGAATCAATCTGGACCAGGAGCTTCAAATAAATAGCAGCGAAAATCGAGATAGAAGAACATTTGTCAGAGCGTCTCACTTCGCATACGAGTTTGACTAATAGTCGCGGGTCGCGGGTCGTGGGTCCAAAGTCGCGGTCGCGGGTCCAATGTCGCGGTCGCGGGTCCAAAGTCGCGGTCGCGGGTCCAATGTCGCGGCAGGGGAAAATGATTTGGGGTTCGAGGTACTGTACGTCCATTTTACAGTTTTACAGCCGCTGGGATCTGGGATGAAATAAAAGTTAATGGATTACCGAGTGAAAACAACTGATATGAACCAGGAACACAATATAAAGGGAAAAAATCTTTTTTATGCACGATACTCTACGGTAGCCAATTTACAGGTTACGGATGTTAGAGTCAACAAAATAATGTCTCAAGAAAAAGACCTAAAAGAAAAAGCTGGCCGACTTTTGTGTTCAGCGCAAGTTTATATTTTTTTCTTTCTATCGGACCCAGTTATGTGTAAATTCAGCTTTGAATATACTTATGCATAACAGCATCTTATAAAAAAGTTACCATAAGTTACCATTGCTTTCTTCTTGTCGATAAATTGCTCACAAATGCTTAGGGGTTCAATTACTGAAAAATATGGGATACACTTCATAGACTACAGATTATAAACGTTACAACAACTTAAAGCCTTTTTTTAAAAAAAGCCAACCAGGGCTCAAAAAGCTACGAGTCTGTCGGTAGAAGAAACGAGAACTCTTATATTTAACAAATGTTTTCGGCGAAACTGAAAGAAAATGTAAATAGGCGCACGAAACTTCATTCAAGCGGTATTCAAGGCATGAATTTAATATGGAAACAAGTAATAATCCACAGAAAGGAGTCTGTTCCTCGAAGCAAGATTTTCGCTTAATGCTTTTATTTTTACAACTGAGACGGCAACCCAAAGTGTTCAATGTAACTTCTTGTTCTCTTCACCTAAATGGCAACCAGGACAACCTGACAATAGGAAGCCATTCAATGTGCGTCTCAGTCAAATCTTGAAAACATGCATCGTAAATAACTAAGTGAGTAAGAAGGTAAGGAAATAATAACGCCCGATATCATGAAGCTGAAAAAGAAAGAAAACCGGACACTGAAAACGGTAAGTTATCAACTCCACCAGAGCTAAGAAAAGACAATAAATTAGGTAAGTAATTCCAGATTCCAGTCACTGGATTCAAGTCCCGGATTAAAGTCTTTGTCAGTAGAACCAAGAGACTATGATCCCGGGGGTCCGCTGTGAAGGGTATGGTTTTCAAGCAGTTTACTCTGGGATAGGGTATATAAATCAGAGCGTTTGGCTCCAGAATAGGGTATCATTTTTCAAAACTGATCAGTTGGTTGAAGATTTTATCTAGACTAGGTACACAGCTTTAGGATAGGGGGATTTGGGGATTTTACTCTAGTATAGGGTAGCAAAATTCAGCTGAACTAGCTCTGGTAAAGGTTAAGGGTTCCAGGCTCCCAGCGGCACATCCCCACCCAGAAATTCCTAAAGTACCCCCCCCCCCCCGGGACTATGATCTATTCTCTCCTGGTAGAACTTGGATTCCGGATTTCAATCGTTAGTGGGAACAAACTCGAGCTCCTTTCTGTGCACAAGAGAGGATAAAGCTCGAGCTTTATCCCCTCTTGCTGTGGATTATTACTTGTTTTTTATTAAATTCATGCCTTGAATACCCGCTTGAATGTACTTTACTGGCACTTCAAG